AGAGCAAAAGAAAATAATGTTCTGTATTCTCAATACTAGAATGTACATCAAGAAGAAAAGGAGTTTATATACAAAAAGAAACAAAACAAAGAAAGGGAAAATAATAAGGAATAAAAATGGAAGAACCAGAAAATATAAAAAAAAAAAAAACCAAAGAGATAAGCCCTGACAGACTAAACAAGAAAAAGCTATCTCCCGTGGGAAATAGCAGCTACCTCTATCAAGAAATAGTACAAAAATGAACAAAAAAAAAAAAAAGGAAAATGCACTATTATAACCCGTGCTAGGCAAGTATAAAAATTATATAACAATACAACATTTGTATATCTTTACTATAAAGCTTTGCCTTAACATTATTGTTTCTTTCTGACTATATGACCAACTCTGGAATATTTGGTTTCGACCTAATCCATATCTTGAGCCAGGTGCTGCCACCATTCGTAGACCCGTATCTCAAGCTACCTGCTACCACTATTAGAACTCAGAACCTGTTCAAATTAGTAGTACCATATCTATCAAACATGTGGTTGTAATCTACTTGGCTATCTGAATTTGGAATATAAATACTATCGACCTTTTGGAGGGGGTAAGCCAAATTCTCACTTTTTGGAAAAAAATTTTTTGGAAAACTGAAGAAAGGCAAAAATGAGAGAAGAGAAATACAAGTACTTTCAAAATTTTTTTAAATGAGTATATTGAAAGAGCAAAGCTTCTTGTTGTTTCCCTTGTGTTCTTTATTGAAGTAACGACCTAATAGCTTTGTTGACAGAGTTGGGCCTCCCTATCTATACTCTACCAAGATTTTTTATACAAAGGCACCACCTGCCAGTTATCTTGTATAATAACGCTCCTGGCTTGCATGCCAAACGTTCTTCTTTAGAGGAGTCCCTGAGAGTAGTAGTTGACCTCTAAACAAACTACTATATAGGCCATGACTCTTCAACAAGTAGTTCTGGTTTTTCTTTAGTGGAAAATTTTGGTCTAGGTGATCGTTAGAAAGAGTTCTTCTAATTAATGAATAATTTTATTTTTTATTTTATTTAAAATTTTAAAAATTATATAAAAAAAAGCTAAATTATAAAAAATCCTAAAAAAAATATAAAAATAAAAGACAAAAAAACACAGCATTATTCAAATAAAAAAGAAAAACAAAGCAAAAAAATAAAAACTTTTACTTATCATCATTCATATCTTTTTCATTATTAATTGTAACTTTCTTATTATCATCATTATTATCATCGTCTGAGACCAAAGAATCATTATCTATCAATATATTTATCCCTACTTTGGATACATCTTCTTGGTTAGTTGTGTCTTCATTCAAACTAACTTAAACTCCTTTAGATTATTAATAAAAATAAAAATAAAAATTTGCTAATTTGAAATATTGTAAATTAATTCAATTAAAGTAAGTTAGTCAAAGTTATTCTTCTTATACTTTGGCCTTTTATAAGTTTAAATAATTCATAAAAATTAAAATAAATTTAATTAGATTAAATAAAATTAAAAAATTATACCTTTTGCATTTGAAAACTTTATTCTAATTAATTTAAATATATATTTTTTTTTTAAAATTTTAATAATTTTGCTATTAACTTTATTATTATATTTAACCAAATAGTACATATATATTACATATATTTAACTATCTAACTAAATAGTCGTTATGACCTCACCCGGCTACTCTATATAGCACCCAGATACAACCATCTGCACCATCTCACATATGAGATGGAATTTCTCAAGAACCTCTATCAAGAAGCACTCTAAATTCTGATTTGACTCAGAACTTTAATATATTTACCAATTCATATATACCCCACTATATATACTACTGTACAATATCTACTAGTTATAATTCATCTCTCATTACTTATCACATTACTCCTAATTTGTTTCTTGTATAACTTCCAAATTGGTGTTCTAGGAGTGAGTGCTCTTTTTGCTTCCAGTTTGGTATCTCTTGAGATGTTATTTCAGATCCTAATCCATATCTCAAGCCAGGTGCTGCCGCCATCTGAAGACCTGTATCTCAAGCCACCTGCTGCTACCATTAGAAAAGCTGTTCGCATAGTTCCAGGTATTCATATTATACATCACTTAATTAGGCTACCACTCCTTTTATAGTACTCCCTCTTGGTATAGTGATACAGAAGTTTAGATTCTTAGGATGGGAGTTAAGTACCTTATTTAATTACTGCCACAAAGCAGTAACCTGGAACCTGTTTTTTTGCTATATTTCATCATAGACTTTTATATAGGTTGTGCAACTATTACTTACTAGCTAACTTTATGTTTGTACTACTAGGGTGCTTGCTTCCATGCTTTTAGAGTTTCTTTTAACTGATTTTCCTTGTTTCTTAATTGCGCCAGAGGTGTTCTATATTTGGTAAAGCCATTCTCTTACCACAGCCCCTTACTATGTTTACTGCTTCTCTCACCACTTCAGAAGATATTGCATATAGCCATCCTTCTAATCAAGATCCCAATGCCACCTTAGGGTTGTTGGTGCTACCTTGCCAATTGTGGATTTACACACACAGCCTTTTGCAGTATTACTTTTTGTGACCCATATTACATGCAGTGTCTAATCTTCTCCATAGCTCGGGACTTCTTTTAAGAATTCTTTATCAGCCAAATATATACTTTACATAGTCTTACTATCACAGCGTTTCACATTCAAAAGCCCCCCAAAGGTTATAGAAGTAATTAATTAAATTAATTACCACTAGCTATAATCATCACCAAAAAAATATGCGTAAACCTCCGTAAATAATTACATATCGTAAATCTTTCAAAAACTTACAATTAGTATGGAATATTATATAAGGGTAAGATTTACGAAAATTTACGTTATAGTAATTACGTAATACTACGAAGGCAAAATTACAAATCTACAAAAAAATATGCAAACTTGCGGAAGCAAAATTACGCAAACCTATGTAAGTCTATGAAAATTTACAAAATAATGCATCTGCATCATAATGCATCTTTATTATATGCCCAATCAATTTATTTTGCAAAATCAATTTTAACTTTTTTACATAATTATGATTTCATAATAACAATTTTTTATTATTTTTAGCACGATCAATTACAAAGAAAAAAAAAAAATCAACTACTAACTCTAACCACAAACCAACTACAACAACTACGACTATAATCGCTAATATTAAATTGTCGCGTAATAAACGTTTTCAATATACTATAGCATCCAAGGACACCTACAAATGATGTTTATAACAAGCTCCAGTAACAACAAAGCGAAGACTTAAATGAAAAAAGCACAAGACACACCAACGGAGGTCTCAATAACGGCACCAAAGTGGTAAAATAAACAACAAGAGCGACATCGAAGCGATGATAAAAACTTCTGCAATCCACCAGAGAAAGTTTCAAACCGAAGCGACCTACTAGTTGTTCTAACAAAGCTAGAAAAAGATTAGTTTGAGAAAAAAGAAGCAAACAAGAAAAAAAAAAAAAACAAGAAAAAGAAACTACTTATCTTATAATATCAAGACAAGCGATGAAGGCCCCAACAAAGATACCAAGCGACATATCTGTTTCAACGAAGCTAAACCTAGAAAATGAAAGAATTAATTTGAAAAAAAAAAAAGAAGCAAACAAAGAAAGAAAAACTACTAATTTATAACACTGAAGACTCCAACAATGATACCGAACCAATATACTCGTTTTAGCAAACCAAACAGTGAAGCTTAAAATCGCTGACAAAACCTGAAGTTTCCACAAATGACAACCAGAATCTTCATACTATAAATGACAGGTTCGAAACGAAGAAAGCCCAGAATCTCCATAATGATAGCGCCAAAGGACGAAATTCCAAAATCTCCATACTTCATTAACGACGATGCTACCACTAACTAAGCCTACAAAAGAAAGAAAGTTATTAGTTCAATGAAAAAGAAAAAGCAAATGACAAAGCTACTTAT